TTAGGTTATAATATAACCTGTGCGGTCCCACGCCCTGCCCATCACGCCATTACAACCTTATGCAAGCCTACCAGTTTCAAGAAGTGTTTGTTGGCGTTCTCTTTTTTTCCAAGGGCCAGCAAAAAGCACTTCAGGTGAACCAGACCATCCAAAACTGGTGAAAAGCACTTATTCTGTGCTAAAACCCAAAAGATAAGAAACTTAACAACCCCTTGGCACAGTTCTCCTCAACTCATGGCTCACAGCGATCAAATTCAGGATCGAGGAAATGCAGACAAAGCCGGAGATCAAAGAACAGGCCATCAAGATGGGCATTATGGAGAACGAACACTTCCTGTACCTTCAGTGGAACCCGGAGGCAGCCAAGCACGAGAAAGTGCAGCAGGATCCTCTTTCCATAACGGATACGCTTCACACCGTGGAGCAGCTGCAACAGCTCAGCTGCTCATCCACCCCAATGTGTTGGGCAGGTTTCATCCTTTACGGAATTTGTCGGCGGAGTGGACGCTCGAAAACTTCAACCGAACACCGGAGGCCCAACTCACTTACCAACTGCTGGACGCTTCGTCCGCTGCGGTTGCAGTCACCTGGCAGCCTCCACGTTCAGACCATCAAAACTGGGCCGACGTCCTCGTGCGACAGCAGTTGACAAGATGCTGCAGGAACTTTAAAGCCAGCAATCCAGTTGCATTCTTCAGCTGCAGCTTTCAAACCCTAATCAATACAGCTATGCAAACTCAGTACTGTATGCCTTCCTCTGATCCTCCCACTGCTCATCAGGTGGCCTTGTGGTCCAGCATACCGGCCTCCGCCGATTTTTCCAGTGGCTCCTGACTCACCAGAAGCTTCAGCCCATATGTAAAAATCACATTTGGCAGACCCTCACCTCCAGCTGGAAGAATCCATTGCAGAGGCATGATCATGATCCCGCCAAGTTTTTGCAATTTCTTCGGCCCATGCTCTTTGGAGACAGCCATGAAGGCTGCTGGCAAGCACGAACCCCGCTCCCAGTTGCATCATCACCAGCTCAGCGCCAGGCATTGGCAAGCGGAGATGCGTGGCCTTTACAACTGACAGCTGCCCTGAGTGTTGCCTGCAAGACCTCATTGATAAGTGGCATTTGCAATCCCACGTCCATGGGCTGAATTCTTGCCCGCCCTTTCTGGCAATGCAAGTCTCACGGTGTGATGAAAATGGTGACAAGTTAGAGGGAGAGCTAAACGGACCATGGCCGGTTAAGATCCCTTATGAAATCAGCGGAGGGAATAACAGTGGGATTCCATCCTTATGATGTTTACGCAGCGATTCTGCACACAGGTACATCTCTCTTGCACGGCCAGAATAGGGATGCCCTGCTTGAAGAAAGAGATTTTAAGCACGTCACAATGGATGGGAGGCAACCCGCCAAGCTCAAGCCTAAGGAAGCCTCACTAATCTGTCAAAACATCCATATAGTGATTCTGAGATGTGGCAGCAGCAGCTCTTCTGAGCAGTGAAATTTTGAGCCTTGACCTGCTTAAGGGGCATTCGTGCCGGGGTCAAGCAACGAAGGGTGAAGACCATCCTGATCTCCAAAAGGAGATAAAATCGCAGCGCGATTTTCCCTGCAGCGAGTGAAAATACAAAATCATCATTATCATGATTCTATTGTCTTATTGACTTATTGCCCGCATCACCAGTTGGATGTTTGTCCTTCATTTTTGTACGTTACAAGTAGCTACGTCCAAAAACCCGTGTTTGTAGGTTGCGGGAAACGATCGTAGGATTAAGATTGTTGAGCGGGCTTTTGGTCGTTGACATGGGGCTCAGCAAGCGATAAATTCAGTCAACCACGAGTGTGCTGTGGGAAACCGCCAGGCGTGCTGTAGATTTGAATGCATGCAGGTTGATGACTTCTGGGTATCTTGAAGGGATGGCTCAGCTGAAGAAACGGCGGCAATCCTATGCATAGTTTTCAGAAAATCTTCAAGACACATCACATTGGTTAAGCACTGTTGCTTTTCTTCAAGGAACGTGCATCTTCGTTGGGTACATTCGTGCATTACTGCCCCAGGTTCCTCACAAGGTTTTAGGTTTTCAGGAATGAGACAGATATTAGCTTCGGAAGGAAAATGAGTAGGGAGAACAGCAGGACTTCCAATATGCAGCACGCATAACGGCAATGAGGATGGCAATTTCGGTTTGTTACGTAAGCCAACAAACTGCGACAGCTTGGTGCCAGCTCAGCGCCAGCAATCCTTCTGAACGGGAAGCTGGAGAACCGACGTCAACCTTGCGCAACTCTCATACATTTCATCAACATGTTAGGCCCCTCCTGAACGAATACTTCTATGAACTTCTATGTGTTAGCGGCCGTGCGGCTTTTACAACAAGTTTCGAGCGTCCATGGAAACAAAGCGTCTCGGGCGTGCATGGGTCTACCGCCCAAGCATGCAGGATTGTCCACGTTTCCTCAATTGATCCATCCCTTCAAGACGCAAACGAACGTTACACAGGCGATTCACGGGTAGGAGCTGAGCAAGCAAAACAAGCTTTGCGGTCGCAGCTTTCTATAAACCAATTCATGTCCATTCACCGCAACGGGAATGTGCTTGCAACAAACGATCGTTTGCAAGTCAGTTTCAAGTTTCAGAGATGAGGCTGCGCGCAGCGGAAACTGATTTGCAACCATTCCAGGAAAAAAACATGTTGCGACGAGCCCACTTATCCTATATGTCTATAGTCTGTATCCAGTCTTTTGCAATTGCATGGACTTCTTTCGCATGCGCCTTGTCGCCTTGTTCTTTTCTTTGTCTTCCTGCCCCTCCTCATGCTTTTCCTGCTCCTCCGCCTCCTCCCCCTCCACCACTCTCATTTGCTGTCCATTCGTTCACCGTTCATCCATTATCCAGATCCTGTTGCGATGGTGCAAGCGTAGTATGCGTTACATTAGCCACTAACCACCATCTTTCCATGAGTCTGAAGGCATGCCAACATGCCTTTGTTGGCCTCGACTTGCGCCTCAAGTTGTAGTAAATGCGCGCGCCTCAAGATGTAGTAAATGGGCACGCCTCAAGTTGTAGTAAATGGGCGGGGGCTTGTTTGTCACATTTTGGGCACAGAGCCCGGTTCCATCCAGTATGCTGTCCCTGTCAACTGAAGGACTGCTCTGCTCTGAACATCTCAGCAGTGAACCATCTTAAATTCGCTTTCTGCAGCATTAACTGGCAAACATGTGCAGGCATCCAGAATGATTGTCCTGTCCTGGACGTTCAGCCCACCCTTTTGTCGCTGTGGGGTGCTTGTGGTGCAGGTGCTTGAGCCCGCTTTTCCCCGGTACTTATGGATGGGTCCGGTAGAACGACACAAGCATGGCAGAGGAAAGAAAAGCTGACAGCACCCTAAGCTCTGTCTCTGTTCTCGTTGGTTTTGGTTCAATCTTCGTTGCTGAGTTACCAGTGCTTGCTTTTGACAAGGCTTTGCAAGAGGAGAAGGCTTTGGCTCTCTGTTCATTGAGGAGGCAGCCCAACCGTGTTACATTCCAAGATGGGTAGTTGTTCCGGAGTCTTGCAGAGGCCGCAAGCGATGGTGCAGTTGTTGCCGGTTGCGCGGCGAACCAGGACATCGAGGTTGGCAAACCTGAGCTTCCGGCAAAGAGTCCGAATTGGAGGACGGCCGCAGCTCATCTCTAACAGCGCCAAATGGACCTGCACAGCAGAGAGTTATCAACACCGCTCTTGGTCTATCAGGCTCGTGTTAGTGCGAACGTAAAGCTGTCAGATTTCTGTAGAGCCCGTAGTGACTACCCGAGTGGCTGAGGCTTGAAAGGAACTGATGTTTCGGCTGCCAGCCTGGCACATTACAGCGGACACAACGCGTCCAAATCATTAGCGTTATTCGCCATTCACAGCATGTCACCGATGCTATGTACAGGTCGAATGCCATGGCACTGGAACAGCTCTTGGTGATCCCATTGAGGCACGTACAGGGACGCAGTGGGAAAATTCATCCTGACCACCGGAGCAAGGTTGGCGGACTGAGGGGATCGCTGGGTGAGGGACGCCTCGAAACATTCTTCTTGATGGCCGGGAAGACCAATGCCAAAATCTCAGCTAGGTCGCTAGCTTGGAGGATCGCCGCGCAGCACGCTACCTCGCTTGTTTGCACAGGTTGGCCACCTCGAAGGCGCTGCAGGAGCTTTGGGTTTACACAAGTCGGTGACCTAGCAATCCCAGCCTAGACCCTGCCCTCCAGCAACCAGCATCATGTCACGAAAGCTAGCTACTTGGAGCTTGCGAGAGTTTCTGTTGACCAATATCGTCTCCTGGGCGATGGACAACTTCCAGGACCACTTGGTCCGGTGCATCGGAGATTTGAAGGTGAGAGCCCGGGGGGTTCTCCCCGCGCCCACCTAAATGCTGTCCCCCCCACCTAGCACCTGCAAGGAAGACCCCCCATCTATTGTTCGGTTCTTTTTTGAAGGAGCCAGGGTTTCGGTCATGATTTTGCAGGCTTCATTGAAAGACTGGCCTGCCGATGTTCAATGTCAAGCAGTCTCAGAGTAGCATTCTAGCAAGCGTAGGAGACAGCATTGCTTCTGGCAAGCACTGCAGACAGTATTGCTGCTCGACCTACACGCCGATTTCTCGCAAGACCAGGGCAGAATCTGGATTTTTGGGCAAGTTTTTGCTTGTTATTTGGGCATGCTGTCGTGTTGTCGACTGCTTGCTCGGAGGAAGCAGCTGTAGAGTTGCAGACTTCGAGTTCAGTGGAGAGGGTCAGCGACCCCACAGCTTTTTTTTCTGCGGACAAGCTGTCGACAACACGAAAGCCTGACAAGAATGTTCAAGGTCCAGTTCTAAAGATCAATGTCCAGGTCTAGTAGGTCTAGTAGCAATACTCTCTCTGCTGCGCTTTGCCAGAAGAAACGGGCGTGTAGGTTTACCCATGCGCTGCACTCCAGTGCTGATATAGATGAGCTGCCGTCGGGGCGAATTTGATCAGCCATACGGGCAGCGCGATGGGAATGCAACGGACGTGTTACAGCAGGAGTGCAAGCGACGTTGTGCAGCAAAATCATGGCACGCCTAGGTGCCTGGCAGTGGTGACGCACCTTCAGGCCATACGTCTGCCCATGTTCGCATCCTCCTGGTTAGCTCCTGAACATGGAAAGGTACCGCCAAATCTGCACCTGGCTTCCCTCAATCCACACATCGATCTACAGGACTCTGAGCCAAGGGGCCCACCGGAGAGCTAGTCCGTACCTGCCACGTTGACGACAGGACTTCCCAGCAGAGCCGTCAACGGCGTTCCAAACCATTTCCTGCGCAGGGAGAATCAGCGTGACCTGGCTATACCTGGCTGGGATTACTATCAGGCTTGTCCAGCTGTCTTGCCAAGCCAAGCCTGCGTTTACCTGAAACAGTCACAGTTCAAGAAAATCTAGACTACAGAAGAATATCGTGTTGTTCGAGGCTTGGGGGCGACCAGCAAAATGCAGCATTCTGGTGCCAAAGCACTGGAACACGAGAGGGACACCCAAGAGTGAAGGGTCTACTTTCAAGATCAAATTTTATCCTCTGGATGTTGACGATGGCAAATTGCAACTTGCCATATACGCATACAGGACATCCAGACTTAAGACTAGACAGCAGGTGAGTTAGCTTGACTGCATTTGTTGACCGTTTAAAGGATACCCCTCAACAACGTCCCCAGGGGCTCAACTCTGGCGAGCGTGTAGAAAATAGGTACGGGGACTACTGTCCGCTAGTAGTGAACAGGACATGCTAGGATGTACAGGGAATGGATATCGTATGGCTTCTGTGTCTCCGAATTTCTCAGGCATGTCTTGAGCATTGAAGGGGGGTGGCGTTGCAAGATGGGAAGGACGCTGCGCTCAGTGAGGTTCGCCACTCTTTAGCATGATGGGATGCGAATGCATGGAAGCTGGAGCAGGGCATGCATCTTGCCATTGCCATGCTGAGCCCTTTTGTGAAGATCTCCTGGCTGAACAGCATTGAGCGTGTTCCTGCACAGCATTGCACACGCATCAAAGCACTAGTCATTGAAATAACCTGTACATCGGAAGAGACCCGTAATAGAACTGCTAGAGCCATCTTGGCTTCTCCCTGAGCATCGCGGAGCCCGCAACTTTGCTCAAACGGCCCTGAAGCCTTGATTGGGCTCGCCGAGCATCCCGGATCGACGATCTTTGTGCTACTGGAGGAAGGCCTCCGTTGCTCCTTTGAGGGCGCAGGTCGCGGATCGGTTCGACAATCCAATTGCATGAAGCGGCGCAACCGCCTCAGAGCCGTGCTCCTGAAGCCAGCCTCCATCCCAGTCGCAGGCACGTCCTACCAAACCTGTCCACGGTTCATCACTTCTCATAGTTTCGCCACATTTCCTCACTGCGTCCTGCTCGGCCTCCAAGCCACCAGAAGCCTTGGCAACGGTTCCCTCGGATTTCCATCTTTGCGGTTCCTATACATATATAACGCAAAAAAGCATCACGGCACTAGGTGTTCACCGTCATCCTGGTGCTACAGAGGGGTGAAGCTGATCAGCGCCCACCTTGAGGAGCTAGTACGGATTCCATGTATTGGTCTACATACTGGCATGACTCTATGTTGATTCAGTGACTATAGCTTAGTGTTCTCCACAGCATCCGCAAGGTTTTCGCCCCATGTGCAAGTACTCTTTCCCAGTGATTATGCGGAGTCTTATGGTACACAGGGGGCACTGGGCTGGACCTCTCATGATTACATGTCTCTTATGAAATGCGGTTTCGTTCAGCCTGTTTGGTCAGGAACGTACCCCGGTTCCCATGTACCCACGCCCTGCGTTCACCTATCTGAAACCAGCGTCTAAATGGTAAAGCCCGGGTAACGCAGCTTGAAATTCTTCTAAATTTCTCGCCAAACAACCTCCACAGCCGCGTGGGCAATTTCACATTTTGCTGGGCTTGGGTGAGTGAATCCTGCGCTGGTGAGTATTGTTTCCAATCCCAGCGAATGCAGTAGATGTGGATTCTCACCGTGTGGGGTGAGTTAGCGGAGGATTATTCAATGTGGTACTAGTATTATTTCTTATTTGTTTGATTTGTTTGTTTGGTTCTGTGTTCCTCTGGGGTCCTGGTTTTGTTTGCTCGAGGTTGAGGTTTTAAAGCAAGAGCCGCTTCCTTTGCCGTCTTGCAGAAGTTGTCAATGTCATTCCGGAGGAGGTGCATGCTACTAGTGCAGCAGCATGCGCTTTGATCTAGGTTAGAGTGAACAGCTTAGATCACCGCGAAAAAAGCAAAGTCACCGAGGTGGCAAGAAGTTTTGATTCAGTGGACGCTCCATGGCATTGCACATGCCTAATGACTTTTTCAAACGAAGTCACGCCTAAGTCGTCCACTACTGTATTGATGCGGTGGTCTGGGAAATGACACCCCTTGCCATGACAGTAAGCAAGGATAAAGGAGATGATCCCACCCAAGGCATCCGCCATGCCTCATCACAGCTCCATTGACATGGTTTCGCATGTGCCTGCTCAGGTTGCATGCTTCTGCATGTCTTGATTTTCTCAGGTTGGCCTATCGTCATTCGGATTCGGCGGTACGAACGCGCATGCTCTGCTAAGAAGCTCGAGGCACTCATGTCTCACCCTGAACTGTTGGATGTTGTGTTTTGCTCTTCAAGCCAGCTTCTTGGCATCCTGATCCTCCCTGCTTGCGGTAATCCCTAGCGCATCACACCTGCACCCACTTCAAGCATACTGGCATAGTGTGCGTAATCTTGATCAGAGTGTTTGAAACTTGTGCAGACATGTCAGTCCAGGCTGCGCGAGCCTTTGGAAGGGCAACCAGCTCTCGCACCTCTCGACTTCCGGCAAACTCCTTTTCCCTGGGCGCCATCAGTGCCTTTGCCCAGCCTGACTTGCAATCAGTGATTTTTTGTTTGTTTCGTGTTCGAGGTGCCGCGCCTGCTGAGACTTAAGCGCCGCGAAGGGGCAATGACTGTCTTTGAGGTGGCGTGCAGCCACTCAAGCCAACCCAACTCTGCTTTTTCTTCGAAACCAACAGGATGCCATCTCGGCCAGGTGAGGATTGATGCAGAACTGCTGCTGCTTTGTAAGCAGGTGGTTGCTGCCTCGATGGTATTCGTTCTTGATTCGAACGGACTCCGAAAGTTTGGCAGATATGCTTCAGGCTGGGTTCAGCCTTCCCAGGTCCATGGCCACAGCTTCGTCTCGTTCTCCCTTTTTGTGGCTCTGGCGCTGCTACTCAGATTCGCTGAAGCCACAGAGCCGCATGGCATTGCCATCTCTCCCTGCACGAGGCCATGGAAGCGTGCCGACACCATGCGAAGCAGGCATCGCCAGCCCAGCAAGCTGCGCGCGGCAGTGAGTTGACAAGCCAGGCTGTTCACCTCAAGAATTTGCAAATGGTTGCTTGAGCCTTATGTGGAGTCGTTCTGCTGTGCACACCTCGAAACTCACATCCGTGCCTTGACGTATAAAGTATAAAGGCTCCCCTACTGCTTCCTGACAACTATGACTGCCGGTGCCTTTTTGGACCTCGGGAGGTACTTCCACACAGCCTTCAGATGTCCATGTTCGTGCAGGTCAGACCTGGCTGCGCTTGACACTCAAGGAGCACCTTGGCTGAAGGACCAGAGCACGGCATCACTTACCTTGGAATCTCTCACCCTTG